GAGTCACCCACCACAAGATTCTGCCATCGTGTGGGCTCCAATTGGTCAGTCTGCATCTCAACGTGGTTCGTACCAGTAGTCGAAGACTTCATGCCCTGAAGCCGTGTTTTATTCCGGCTGCCCCTAGCCTATGGGTGACCTGAGCCTAGCTTGGCGGGGCAGACAGTGAGTAGGCATGCACAACACTTGTCAGGGGAACCTCGGCTGATAATGGTTCACAACCGCACCAGCTGGCATTCCGCTCCACTCTGAAACTACACCCGACTTCTGCGCTACTGACTTGACGACAATGAGGCACACAGCCTTCGCCGACGATGCTACGGTAGTAAAACACTCGGGGCCTTCTCATGTACTCTGCCTTCAAGAGCCATGTTTCACAGAAGTACATAGGAACAAAGCGAACTGCAACACACTGCACTCGAATTTTAGTTGACGAGCCGATATCGCGGAGGCACCACAGATGGCATTATACAGCAGTGGTCGGTAGAGACTCTTGTTTCTATGCAGAGGTATCGTCAGTGACTGACCCACCCCAAGTAAGTGGAGTGGTCAGCCAACTCAACCACTTCACCTCTCATTTTTGAGCAGGCTCGGCCTATGACTGGCTCTGGTGTGACAGTTTGTATTTGGGTGGCGAGAAACGCATCTTGGACACTCTCGAATCGCCATTCAAGGCGTTCAGAGGACTCTGTATCTTGTCAGCGCCTACAAATAATTCGAACATTTCAACAGTTTACCCTATACACATCATCGTTCGTCCCGTGGTGAGATGAACTCTTGTGCAGTAACGCAACGAGAAAGACCACTATTATTTCTATGACAAAACTGGCTGGAACTGGAGAGATTCGGCATTTCAGACAGACACCATTTCGTGTAAACAGGTCATCTATAGACCCAATATTAGCTCTAACGCCCTGACAGATAATCACTTGCTCGGTCTTCAAAAGATTGATGTACTTACTCAGCAGTGGTCCTAGAGGGCAACATTTCCATAGGAGCTGACGATTGACCAAGTCGAATGCCCCTTTGAGGTCAAGGAATGGTGCTAGTGTTGGGTTTTGTCAAGTGTGCCTGTGATTCAGAACTTTTTGGAAATGAATATTTATTCTGTTCACCCTGGGAGAAGTCTGAAATCTGCTTTCTTCTCAGACTTCCAGTTCCCAAGCTCTGCTTAGATCTCCAGTGCTCATGGAACTTAGGATCTGCCAACTGACTCCCCTGTGGATGTCACGAGAGGACCGTTCACTAGTCTTGAAAACTGGGACATTAAGAGATTGATGCCAGTCGGAGGATATCATTTCTGACTCACCCACACTAGTTATAACTTAAGTTACCTCAGCTAAAAGACCTTGACTACCACCTCTAAACTCCTCTGGAGCCAGTCCGCTTTGTCCTGCTGCTCTTCACCGTTTCAGGTTACTTACCGTTTTCTTGACTTCACATGTCTGTGCTCTATTCGAAACTCCTGCTGGGTGGTGGGCAACAGAACAGTAGCTGAAGGTAAGTTGAATTACTCCAATGAGTGTTTAACACATTGTTCCATGACCCTCTACTGCGAATGAACAATGTACTGACTGTCCAGCTCTGTGATCGCACTAACCATAACGTTTCTGCCCCACCATCCTCAATAAGTTTAAATAGTTGTCTACTGGGAGTCATCGTGGCTGCCTTCCCCATCAAGTTGGCCTTTTCAGTCCACCAGTGTGCTCGATCACTGCGTAGACTTCTCGACAGGCTACAATTGAGTTACAGTGGTCTGGAGGGACGCGATCACGTGTATCCGATTGCTAATAAGGAGACACCGCAACTTCTGGCCCTTTTAACAACTTGTCAGTAGTCGGGTACGTCATACTGCCACTCCCGAAGTGTCGTTTAAGTGCCTTTATGCCTGACTCAGCCTATCCTCTTGTTCACTGAAGTCACCAGCAACAACAATCACGTCTTAGTGCTTGGCTTTCAGTAGGAAGCCCAACAGCTGTTGGTCGACCTCATACTTTACTTCATCCAAGTAGTAGTCGGTGGATATGTAGTCAGAAATCGTAAAATGACAGCAGCGATCTCCATCATACCTCTTGTTCCCACTGGTTTCTTAAGTCGAGCGACACACAGGCAGCTGTCATCTGGTATCCAATCGGGCGGTGAACTGCCTGCTCTAGTGCTCGGTGCTATGCCTACACCATTAAGGTAGCGAAAACTGGCCACGGACCGCCTAGAACAGCGAGGGGTGACGTTTGTGGACTCAGCATAATGGCTAACAGAGGCTCAGTGAAAAATCACACTTCGGTCGAATGTGCGTGTCCAACACATGCAGAAAACATCTACAGATCTTGTTGCTAGTCCTGATTAGTAAAGCTTGAAGGTCATGTCAATGGAGGAAGCAGACACTGAAAGCTGCGGTGCACAGTTTGAAGCATGGTTCCAGGAGACGAAATGTGGTGTTTTGTAAGCCCAGATAGTTGTCGAGAAATGCAGAGATGTGACAAATCACAGATTGCCCGTCATTACTGATCAAAGGACCTGGAGGAGGATTATAAGTCAACTATATGAACGCTTGCAGCGATGTGAAGGAAGTCAAATGTTGATAGAGATGTGAAAGCGGTTGACACTTCCCGGCTTCACATATTACAGAAGGTTGGTTACTCGCTAGGTACCCAAGAAACAAGGGTAGTTGCATGACTGCAGGGGATAAGAGATATCTGATTGAGTCTGGTCACGCAAGGCAATTTCGCAAGTTCTGGGCTGTTTTTTGTCAGTTTCCACTGCAGTTGTGAACCGCTGTCGCTGGCATCAGCCCCCCACAGGGTGGCGAAGGTGTGCCTTTTCAGGAGTCAACCAGTTTTAATTCCCACTTTCCATCAAAACGGTAGGGTCAGGATGGTACTGCTGGTCACTCGCTGGAAAGGCCATACTGCTGTCATACTCTCTTCCAGCCAGAGTGTGACATAATCCTCGGGTCCCCATCATAGCTCAACAACAATCGTAATTGATTTTTGTCTGACTAATCTCTATGAAACGTTTCTGGTATGGTAGGACCTCTGTTGAGTAAGCGTCCTACCATGACGGCTTGACAAGTCATCGTTAAGTGTGACCGCCACTTCAGGGCTGTAGCCGTTGGTCGGTCTGCTGGTCTTGATTCATGTCCACTGACGCAAATTACCCTACCTTTCTTCAGATCTATGCCCAAACTGTTTTTTTGATGACCAGAGTTATGGATGCCGCAGGTCTTCTTGGACCAGTCTACTGTAGGTCCCTTCGTTTACCACCTTCTAAGTATTAGTGTCGTTCACAAAATTAGGGAGAGTTGAGGATACGTTGCTTGAGGGATCGTTGATGAACAGCGGGAATTGAAGTGGCCCCAGTGGTTGCCTCCACTTCGGTCGTATCCCGTTCCCCCTGTTCATAACTGTCTGCCAACTGGGTACGCCTTCAGCCAGAAAAACAGATTTTCTTGTCCCAGCTAAAGCGATCTTCGGGAGTAGGATTTCATGTGAGGCGCAGAAAAACACTTTGGGCAGGTGAAGAAAAATGACATGGGCTGATTTTCTGTTGTCCCGATTGGAGGTCCAGTCATCTCGGTCAATCGGCAAGTTGTTGGGATATGAATGAACACTCCAAAAGCCATACTGAGCAATATGGACAGTAATTTTCCTGCTAAGGAAATCCCGGACGCCATTCTCCATTGGAATTCCCAGTAGCTGGAAGTAGGTCACTTAGTCTGCACCCGCAAGGAACGATCCTGTCTCCTCCTTTGAAAATGGCTGGCAGGATGGTGCACTTCAACTCTTTAGGAGGCCTACCTTCTCTGGAGAGTGCTTGAAGGGGTGACAAAGTGGTTTAGCTAGTGCCTCTATTCAGTCCTTTAGGATTACTTACCTCAGATTCCTGCAGTCACAGCATCTACTCTGACGGAGCGCGGATCTTTTCTGATACTTTTTTCTGCAGGATGGGGTTGTGGTGCCTGGACTCAATTTACAGTTCGATGAGGGTCGCTTTACGCCAATGTACATCTGGCTTTAAAAGTACCAAGCTTGGCTTCAAAGTATGGGATCTGAGGCTTTTCTGCTTTTAGACACCTTAGTACATCTCTACTGAGACCTGCTGTGAGATTAACTCCCTTGCTATTTGGCCTACATTCAACATGATGCGCTACGGACTTAATGAGATGCTCTGTGACCTTCTAATCAAGCTTGTTTGATAGCTGAACCCGTCACTAAGCTTTTTTTATATTGCATTGCTTGCGAACTCATTTCTAGATCAAAAAAACATGACTTCTTGTGAGATAAACGCCACTTTGACCAGGACTTATTACTTGGTCTAGAGCAGCCTATCTGTTTCGCTCGTTAACCACGAAGTTGTAGCTGATAGTAGATGTTGCTCCTGGCGCACTGTGTCAGACACCCTCAAGGATTATTTACTTCATTCATAGACGTGTGATGACCAGCATCCTCTACACTCAAAGCTGCCTGCGTGTTGGTAGTCATATAAAAGCAGAAACAAGTTCATAAGTCCTAGCAATGAACTAACTAATTCACTTTTTTTATGAAGCTGACTGTTATTGTGACTGCATTTTCAGAAAAGCTGCAGATGGTGTAAATATTCCTTTCTTTTATATGTATAATTTCTACTTATTTCAATTATGTATACATATACGTTGTACCTGTGTAGTTGGTGTTGTATAATATGTCGGAATTTCCGAAGTATCTGTCAGGATAAATTCATTGTTATGTTTATTGTGCTTACATTGGGTAGTGACTGAATGTAAAACGAAAATTTGAGTCATGGCATGATTCAAACCATAGACCTCCAAATAGCCGACTTGATGTTCTGCAGTTAAGAAAAACGCCTAACAATCATGAAACCAAGATTTGTTCTTCTGCTAAGGCTCATGAATGAGTTAGCAGAGCACTGGTCGTCATCTGGAATTCTGTCATGGCATGCATATTTGTATTCACCTTCAACTAGTATCACACAAGTGGATTAAATAATTTGTACTCAAAGAACAAATAAATTGAAATTGTATTATATAATAATATGGAGAAATGAATTGCCAAAATTCACTTTTTCCCGCTTGTTTTAAAAGTAAAGTAATGCAGAAACAAACAAAAAACCGAACCAAACCAAAAGAAACAATATAATTAAGACAACTGAACTGAGATAAAAATGCAAAGTGGAAACCAAAGGAAAATACAGAAATTTCATTTGTTTTTTACTCAAAAGAAAGGCTGAACTAGTTGTCTTCTAGTAAAAATATAATAAGTTATTCTTCTTTGTTTATATATCAGTGAAGAGAGATAACTCAACATTTGTCTAGCAAGTTATTGATGTGGATTTGAGCATCACTGTTACACTGAATACATTAATAATCAACACACATGTTGAGTATTGAACGGGCTGTATCATTCAGTTTTCAACACCGCTGTTTTTGAATAAATTACCAAGTTGATCTTCAATTTCATTTTCACTTTGTGTGCAGGGAACCTGTGAAGTTGAAATGAACAATATGAGAAAAATATCTATGGAACCACATGTAAATAATGAGGACTATTATTGAAAGGAAACAACGAATCAGATATGACAAGAAATTCAAGCATTCAGCAAAGATACGAAGTAAATGGGCCTGTAACACTACAATTGATTTTCGACTATACATACCTAGTTAAACTGAGTACTGAATTATGATAACGATAATTCAACATAGGGAATCTGATAACTTCATAATATTATAACGGCATGTAAACCACCTTGTGTAGGATATAATATTCTACGCTAAGAACCAGGTTTATTGTCCAAAGGATTCAGCATGAGGGTTAGTGTCCAAGAGAACCTCAGTTACCTCAAGGTCGGAAATGCGCCTTGCTCATGAATATGATTAAACATGTTTTACTTCAATTTAACCTCCCAATATCAAAACCTAGGCGACTAACAAATATATATTAGGTAAAGCGGAGTCTGCACTCCAAATCGATTGCTTCTAAGCCAGATGATATCAGCTCTACCACATAAATATCAGACCCTAAATTGTAATAAGACGATTTATCCGATTTCGTAAACACTGCTGAAATGTAGATAGCGTAATTTAAGAGATGAAGTTTATCTGAACACCGTTCGATGTATTTACGCTACACATTCAATTGTCAAGGCGTTTTATACAAAGCAGAAGAGTAAAATAGGTGAATTAAGATTTTTATAAAGAATTAAAATCAAGGAAGATGAGAACAAAATGGAAGAGTGACATAGTTCAATCCTATCCTTGGTACGAAAACAAATTTTACCTAGGTACGTTTTGTATATGCAAAAGGAGTTTCAATTTGCTTATGGCCTATTGCTTCCACAAATCTTAGTTTGCATCCCCAACTGTTTTCGCATGAAACTTTGAAAGCTGTTAGAGCATTAATTGTGTTTGAAATATACCCACTGTCAGGATTTAAAAGAAGAATAAGTAAGCATTTCAGGGATTCTCTTTTCGGTGACTTCACATTTTCAAAGCTGTACACAATCACAAATTTATACACTTCTTTCTAGTATTTTCTAGTATTTTTCTAGGATTTGATAGTTAAAAACGGTTTATCCAGCATGTCAAGCAACACAAATGGTGTCAATCATGTGAGTTCCCATTAAAATCAAAAAAAAACTACCAAATACTGATGAGTAGTGAATATTAATCAAAATAAGTTTTCGACAAGAAGTTTCGTAACATGATGAGTTAATCGGAAACTGAATTGTGATCTCAGGCGGAGCATAGTAACAAGAATGAGCAGCAAATTATTTAGGAAGTTTTAGGATTTGTCCTGGTGCGAACTTGACAGACGCAAAGACCAATCACTAATTATTCGGATTTGTTATATACCCACGAGTACGAGACCAAGGAACAACACGATAGCGTAGTCGGATGGAATAGTATATTTGTATGGTTGTGCCAAGATACCGATGCGTTCCAACTAACTGGCTAGAGAGTGGAATACGAGCAGTGCAACGTAACACGACAGCGTGCCAAATGGCGAGGATGCTTGACTAGGTGCTTTCAGCTTAGCGAGTCCAGTTAAACTATCAAGGTTAGCATCAACGTCGAAAGTCGTCAAACCCTAGGCTATTGATTTTGGGGAAGTGTGTGACGTTACAAAGTGAAAAGAAAAAGGAGGGGATAGCGAAGATACAAAACTAAGACAATGAAAGGAGAGGGGTTGGACAATCTTCTTTTGTGTACACAGTTTAGGTTTCTCTATATGGATTTTAAGAGTTTCATCAATGCAGAAAGTATGAAGACATGCAGCCTTTAAGGTTTTTTTTTTCACTCCATAGATGACTTTGAACGAGAAGATTCTTGAGTTAGCGTGATTCGTTTTTTTCACGATGTGTTCAACTGTAGCACACTTTATCGCTCCATTATTACGTTTTTATAACGATGCGGGATAGTATTCTCGAATCCTTTTGGATAACAGTCGTATCAAACGGCCTATATATATATCTGGCTCCACAACAGCAGGTGAATTCATATATGCACAGAGAAGTGGTCAGATACAATGTCGTCTTCATAGTTCCACGTTACCCCAGGTAAACGCCTATTTTACCATAAATTCTTATGCTTATAGCTTCAGAGACCAAACAAGCCAACATTGACGATGTCATGAATCAGTTTCTTGGTATCCTGAAGTTCATAAAGGGGAATTCGTGTATAAAAAATACATTTCACCGACTTCGTCTTGAACTCAAAACTGTCAGTTATATATTAGCAAAAAAACAAACTGATGGCCAACTAATCCATTGTCCAGATGGGTGACACGGTCAATCTGCCTGAATATGAAAAAACCAAATTATTAATTGTCAAAGTAGATTTAAGTGTCGGTTAATTCATTAGCCTTACTGTTTCTTGATACATGTTATACAATGTCGAATCGTTCGACCTCTGTTGACAGATGGGCTTCTATATGCATACCTCGATATTGCCAATAGAAAGAAAAATGATATCCACTGCACAAGTGGTGGCTCTCGTCCACCCTTCAAGGTGTATAACCCTATGGCATATAAAGTGATGGTTACTAGTTTGAGTGCCAGTGGGAACAAAACACTCAGATCAACTCAACCGACGAGTCCCAATTGGACGAAAATAGCATTTTTAGCAATGCTGTACAACATTTAAGAGAAAATTAAAAGACATATATATCATATATTTCTACATTTTAACTAAGCAGTCTCAAGTAGTAAATTACAAAATTACAAAAGCGTAAATCAGACCATATGCTTCTTGGGAATAATAAGCCGTTTTTGATGGTATTGTTTTCGCCCAGCTGGACGGTTTTATTGTGAAACTTTCATTGTCATTCTGTAGATCATCATCTGAATAAACTCCAGAAAGAAATAAGCTATGGGGTTTTCTCCGACAATGGTTTAGTGGCTTGTTCTGATGACCCTGTATGTCAATCTGGAGGTTTGTGGAGACTCATTAATTGATTTCATGTTGAAATCCATCATGGACTGACATCAGTTGGAGGAACACTGGTAACTTGAGAGCACTAGAAAGTCAGTTTCATTCTAGTATGAGGCTCTTCAGCAGTGCGTACCCATGACCCCACCCAGCCATGGATTGAACCCAGGATTTTCAGGTTCCACGGCCAGTATGTAACTTTTACGCCACTGGGTCGGAATAACATGGTTTATATTTCCTATTTCTGTCAGTTCATGAAATAGCGGAACCTTCTCCAGATTGAATTAATCTAGTCCTCATTGGTGACAATCTTCGAGATGGGATTCCCAAGGTTCCGATGACAAGTCGTGTCCAGTGGGGTCAACAAAGTTGCACATGAGGACAGTTACTCAATGACGGCAATGGATGGAAGTCTCACCATATCGTGAACTGATAGAAGTAGTAAATATGGACCACTTGACCCCGAACTAGTTGCTGGCTGTAGAACCTGAAGGTTCTATGTTCGATCCGTGGTAAGGCGAGGTCGGGTCATGGGTGCGCAGTGCTGAGTAGTCCAGTACTAGAACAGAATGGCTGTCCAGTGCTCCCAGGTTTAAAAGGTTCCTCCAACTAATGTCAGTCCATGATGAATTCCAACTTTAGACCTTATATATGTGATTGCAGATAATGACAAGAGTTTGAAAGAAACAACCAATCACACACGACGTCATCAGGATAACGTACTAAGCCACTTTCTGAAGTTTTTGTTGATAATGTTGTATCTAGAATGATAATGGAAGTTTAGTGAATAAACTATCCAATTCAGAGAACACAATGCCGTCAATCAAAATCATCCCTCTAAACTACAGATATTCTCCATCATCTCAATAAGAAAGGTTGTTTCATCTTTCAGGAACAGTGAAATGGAACATGAATATCAAAAGTCTTATTGGACTAGAATAAATAAACACTTAGACGTTCTGTAAATTATAAGTGGATTTACACATAGAATTGATTATAATATACACCCTTTCATTGACAAAAAATAGAAAGAACGCCCTCCTCTTAACTTCTATTAGGTGGGCACAAAAATATGCAAAAATACACGTCTACTGTAAAAAAAATTTAAGTTTTCATGATACTACAAAAATAAATAAACATATTGATTTATAGTTCAAGTCTTTGAGAAATCATAAAACGTATTCATGTTTGTTGTAATTATCCTTCATGGTTGCATAGGAGAGAAACAGTACTATATATATATATATATATATATATATATATATATATATATATATATATATATATATATATATATATATATATATATAATGACTATAAAAAAGACTTATATCCTCATAGAAACTCATTACCTATAATATATATTTAGCTGCTATAGTGATTTAAAGTAAATAAATGAACAAAAGAGGAATGAAATGAAAGAAAAAAAATTCTGTTTGCAAATTATTATTCTCAACAATACTAACTGTTACACCCGATTTATTAAAAGTTAGAAGGAAGGGAAAAACAAAGAGAATAAGATAGAGAAAGTGAAATCAGTCCATTCTGAATCTATCAGAAAGCATATTAAGAGTCTGATCGTAATTATCTTTCCATTTGAAGAGTTATGAAGATTTATTTATTGATTTCATCTTGGTATTCATCATGGCCTAATGTCAGTTGGAAGAACACTGAAAACCTGGGGGCATTGGACAGTCACTGTTTCGTTCTAGTATGAGACTCTTCAGCAGCACGCACCCATGATCCCATCAAGCCAAGGATCAAACCCTATGGTCACAATTTCTCATTAGAACCATCTCGAAGCTAATCACCATAGAGTAACTCGATTTCAAGGCTTTAAGGGATTTATTTATTGATTTCAGGTGGATGCTCATCATACAGTACTTCTCCGACTGATGTCGATCCATGATAAATATCAATCTGAAATCAATTATCTTTCCTCTTCATACTTTTACGTCATAAGTAGTGGATTCACACTGAACAATAACTCCTATCATATAACAGGAAAGGCCAGACAGTAGTCTACTGAGAACAGCATAAAAAATACGGATATGTTTGACCTATCAAGCTATCCAGCTAACGAGTCCCAAATAGGACGAAATGCGCATCCTGGATTCCACTGCTGGCCGCTGCCCATCATTACTACACATAGTTAAAAGACAGGCAATATCGAGGCATCCACACAGGAGCCCACATGCCGACAGAGACAGATCAATTGGGTCCAATCAACAACAGTGTGATATAAGCAACAACACTAAACCTATACCCGTTGCACAAGAAGTGGCTATCGTGGCTCGGTGGTGTAGTGGATAGTGCTCTCGCGTTTGAAGTGGTCGCTCCCGAATCTGAGTCATACATATCTCAGAATGAGCTGTAGTTTTTCAAAAATTCATGCAGTTCGTATGTTCTAATTAAAATTTTCTAGAAATACCTAAAGATGATGAATTTAAAAGGCTTATGAAATTTAACGGTGCGAATCACTACACTAACGATGAACTATAGAGAAAGATGCACAAAGAAAATGGTTTACAATAACAAAAAGTTGTCTGGGAAAATTTCTGTACAAAGCTTCAAGATAGTGATAAAAACTTCAGTAGAAACACTGAGTAAACTAAAATGTTTTGATATATTAAACTTGTTGGGTTTATGATGTTTACGACGGACTAAAATTAGACTTTGAAGACTAATGATGTTCTCAGCAAATTCAAAGTCGTATTATTACTAGATGATGATTGGAGATGAAATGAAAAATTTGGACCACTCAAGGATTCGAACCAGCCACCACCGCGTTTTCGGCCCGATGCTATTACCAACTGAGCTACCAGATCCGAATGCTGACCAGATTTAATTCACTTCAATCACTATGGGTTTTGTCCGACTACCATGTGAATTCATGAAGCATTACTATCGCTTGATCGTATTCACCTTGGCTGCTTAGTCAGGACTTCACATCCCAAACCAAATCTAACTGAATTAGAAAGGGGGCGAGCATCATATTGATTATCATTTTGACTACTATCTGAAATAGCCATGGTTTGGCATATTATGTTGAATCGTAATCTACTGAACAGGGAAAATAAGGTCTAATTATTCAACCAACGTTATACACAATGATCAAAACGAAAGCACACACATAAACAAACTAAGCTCTTCATCTATAGTAGTTCCTCTCATCTTCACACACATTCACATCTTCATGTCAAACTCATCGACTTATAACTGATGACAATGGCATTAATGTCCATATTATATTATCATCATGTAAGGTAAATGTGGTCTAATTTGCCGTCATTTACTAGTTGAACATATGATAACTTGTACAGATTTTATTCTCTGAAAATGTAACTTCCGCGAAGTTGAGAAACGTCACAAATTCACTATTTTTCTACCTCCCTAGGTCAGTGGTTAAGATGGATAGAAATAGTCAGTCATAGAGCAAAGGTGAGACATAACGGTACATTCAAGGGAGGCTATTAAATGGTAATTAAATGGAAATTTCTTGAATAAAAAGGTGATAAGACTAACAATCAAAATATTAAGGGACTTAACAATGTACAATTACGTCTTACGATAAATAAGCAAACATTGTAATCTAAGCTTGGTTGGTTGAAAACATTCGGTATGAACCCTCATATGATATGTAACCAAGTGAAAGTAAAGGAATAAACATCTACCGTTGATAAAAGATGATGTAACGAAGTAACAGTCACATAGGGTTGGTTACCAAGGTAGAGGAAAGTTGACTAAACGAGCGATAAAGATACACCAATTAACTTTGTGGGTATTATTTAGCTCATCACACGAAATTTGTACGAAAACGAGGGGAAACAAATTGTATAAACATCATGGATTGATATCAGTTGGAGAAACATTGAAAGCCCAGGAGCACTGGACAGCTGTTTCATCCCACTAGTATGGAACTCATCAGCAATGCGCACCCACGATCCCTCAAGGAATCGAACCCAGGGTTCTTGTGTTGCTGAGGCGTCTAATACTAGTTGGACGAAACAGTGGCTATCCAATGCTCCCAGGCTTCCAATGTTCCTCCAACTGATGTCAGTTCATGGTGAATATCAACTTGAAATCAATTAATAAATGCTTCCAGATGGATATCACGAAGTTCTAATGAGAAGCTGTGACCTGTGGGGTCAACCAGTTGGAAGGGGAGTAGATGCCAACTGAAGACCTCAGGTGATAGTCACGCTATATCGTGAATTGACAGAAGTTGGAAACTATGAGCCATTGAACTCCGAACCAGTGGCTGAATGGTTAACGCGTTCTCCGTGAAACCTGAAGCTTGTGAGTTCGATCCCTAGCCGGGTTGTAGGTGCATGCTGCTGAGGAGTTTCATACTAGTTAAACGAAACATTTGTCCAATGTTCTCAGGTTTCAAATGTTCCTCCAACTGACTTCAGTCTATGGTGAATACCGTCTCTAAATTAAAAATCCTCATTCATCTCAAAAATTAATAAATCTCTACAAATATCCAGATAAAATTATGTAAACCTTGAAAAAAATCGATTGAACCTACAAAACAATTTAACAATCATTCTGACAAGTATAAAACAATTTGTTTAAGATAAATATCTCATAATCACTGAATAACTGCCATATCTAGTTCCAAGTATACCATGCATGTTAAAGACTTTATAGATTATTTCTACCAAAATGGGATCAGGTATCCTAGTGACAAAACTAGCTGAATCGATGAGAAGAACCTAGAAGATTTGGATTTTGCCGATTACTTACATCTGATGTCACATAAACTTGAAGATCTACAGGCGAAAAATAACAATATAGGTATAAAACTTGGGCACTGTGGTAAAATTTAATTCTATTTAAGATTTGTTTATTTGATTTATAACACAGTCATATAGTATTATTTACTTCATGACGTTTTGAGCATAAATTATCATTGCTCATAATCATATCAATGCAATCACACAGCAAGTTCGACATTTGATGTTTATAGTTACGTCACCTTATATGATTTGTTTTTATTAATAGTAAAATTTCCCATATCTATGGTATAGGTGCTGTGTAATTTCCATTACATGTGTTGGGTGGGTGTTGATTCGATGAAGAAAGATTCACTAATCAATATCCTTCTCTCCACCTAATTGTATTGGATTTAAGTACACTGACTTTATCCGACCTTATTGTGTGGTTGTGTGTTAATCCATGCATTGCAATAGCCGAGGTTTTTTTTTCTAGATTATTGATCTTATTCAGGTCTGTCCAATAAACATATCTGATATGGAATGAATACTGACAAGTTGGTAGAGGAGGCAGGGCAGCAAAGACTGACGTAGAGACAGAGGTGATGAAGATACTCAAGCAACAACAAGTACCAATCACCATCAACGGGAGAAATCTGAAGCAAGTTATCTCTTTCACCTACCTACTTAGGCAGGATCGTCTCAACTACAGGCGGCGGCACAAATGGAAAGGTCAGAGTCAGGATCGCAAAGACATCAAGACAGGCCTTCATTAATCTGAATTCAATGTGGAGATCTACTGCACTGCACTTTACATTAGAACAAGATCCGGATTTTCAACACTAATGTCAGTCAAGTCAGTGCTTTTATGTGATGGTTGAGAGAATTGGCGGGTTATGAAAAGCATTTCCAACAAACAACAGACAACATACGTGAACAGATGCCATTTACGCTCACTCGATGCTGAAGATCAGATAGGCAGAAAGAATAAGCAGCAAGGAACTTTGGCTGGTGACGAACCGACCAAGAACCCATCGCTCAACAAATAAGCAAAAGAAGGAAGTGGAAATGGATTGGATTGGACATACACTGAGGAGACCGTTTGAGGACATCATGCACCAGTCCAGGTTATCGAGTGGAGCCCGCATGGAAAACAACGAGTTGGGTGTTGGAAGGTGACATGGAGAAGATCGTGTGAATAAGATATGAAAGCTTCTGGGTAGTCGTGGTGCCAGGTTGAAAGGACTGCAGAGAACAGAGTGAAATGGTGACGTGCTACTGAAGCCACCAGGAACTCAAGGGACAGATAATAATAATAATAATAGTATAAATCAACTTACACGATACAGTTTTCCAGTTGATTCTAGGAAATCAATCAAATCTGATTCCAAAGAAACTTCATCACATTTTGAGACTACTGTTGACGATGGATCTAATCCCTTCTTTTGTGACAGAATAATCATTTTACAGTTGGAAAACTAAAATAACAATAGGAAAGAATATTATTATTATTATTAAAAGACTATGTTTCCCCCACCAATGTATGCATGTATAACTGAAGCACTGGTTATACATGAAAAACTAACCAAAACTATAGGTTGAAAAGTGTATTGTGATATCACTTTCCCTATGTTTGCCTTAAAAATAAATTTTTTAGTCAGTTTCTCAATTTTCCTTCACTTCACCATTGTACACTTCATCAATTTACACTACTTTTGACATTACTTGACTTAAATATAACATCATTAATGTCCTGCAGCATCCAGGCATTCGCATAAGAACTCATCTGTCAACAGAGGTTGAGCAATTAGGCCCTGTATAACAATAGGAAATTACAATTAATAAAATAAGAACCTGACCCTAAAATTTCACCAGTTGAATTCATTTCCTTTCTTATTCAATGAATACTTTTCTATTCCTTTCAAGTGAACAAATCACACCATCAAAACTAATTGTATATAAAGAGGTAGTATTCATCACGGACTGACATCAGTTGACAAACCATTGAAAACCTGGGAACATTGGACAGCTGTTTCATCCCAGTAGTATGAGACTCCTCAGCAGTACACACTACAACCTGGCTAGGGATCGAACTCACAACCTTCAACTTTTACGGAAAATGCGGTGATCACTCAGCCACTGGGTCGGAGTTCAATGATTCGCAGTTTTCAACTTCTGTCAATTCACGATATAGCGTGACTGTCACCTGAGGTCTTCAGTTGGCATCCGCTTCCCTTCCAACTAGTTGATCCCACAGGTCATAGCCTCTCTTCGTGATATCCATCTGGAAGCATTTCACTAATATTTACTAACCTAGCAACATTTTTAGTGCGTTTATCTGACATTTCACCGATTATAAATACGACTGGTGCAGCTTGAAAATGAAGTCGTTGGAACGAAATATTCCTTCATGTTTCATTCATCTCGGTGACTAGCAGTGGAATCCAGGATGCATGTTTCGCCCCATTTGGGACTCGTCAGTTAGATGTACCTATACTGCAATGAGTAATGTTGTTCCCACTGAGAAACGAACTTAGTACCGATCAGTTCAAACGCCAAAGCGTTTTCCTGTGTCCCAGTGGATAACGTTTTGACATTCGAAGCAACTGGTAGGTGGCGAGTTCGATTCTCAATGGGAACAATATTAGTCATTAAGGTGCAGGTACATTCAACTGAAGAGCCTTAAATGAGACTTAAGCGGATCCTAATCTTCACTGCTAGTCCTCAAGATGAATATCAACAGTGTTAGTGTTTTTTTAAGTCTCATTGAGTATCTTATGGTGTAAAACGCTTATTTCAACTGTTAACCGGTTCAAAATAAACTTTGTTTTATCAATTTAATGTAAGGCTTAATTTCTCCTACTGTTTACCACTATGTTACAGTTCTACTTGTTATGCTTCAACTTAGTAACTATCCAGTTTCCACATGGTATCTAGGGTTTGAGATTGAAAAACATTTGCTCGTTTAAAAACACAAACTTCTTGGAAAGTGTTGATAAAGTCTAACAGATGCCTTTCTCGCAGTCTATTTTATGTTTTCGCTCTCTAAAGGACCTATGAATTGGTAAATACAATTAAAAGCATCTATTAACTTAAGATGGGCTAATCAAACAACTATAGTTGTAAACTGACAACAGCTTATTTTATCAATGTATAGAGATAAATATTCTCTTCGAGTTACCTCAGATTGCATTTATCAACTCACACATTGTACTTGCAGAGATAAGTACATAGAAGAGACTGCAAGAAGGATACTTACTCAAGTTTAGGAATAATTTCGCAAAAAAAGTCTTTCGAAAGAGAACAAAGGTTTGAATAACCAGTCACCTGATAAAAACTCGACACCGTTCACATATCTGTGAATTGTTCACTTTACAATGCATTTCTAACGCTTTTGAGTAAGATATACTTTCAGGTTGTATGCTTGGAAATAACTCCATAAACCTCAATGGATTATGTTAGAGTATCAATAAAATTCTAGCGCATAAAACCAATCGATTATAGGATTTTCTGAAGCATTCAGTTACTTAAATAGTATTTCATTCTTAAAAAGCGTTCACATTCATTTACATTCAGTTTACAATAAATATTAACTTCAACTTCAGGATCAAAACAAGTACAATGATACTTCCAGTATGCCTTTAGACTGATATGACAGTAAAAGCTACATTCTTCTTGGTGGTTAGCAGTGGAATCAATTACGCGCGTTTCGTCTTGTTTGGTACTCGTCAGCTTAGTGCAACCCTGCACCCCAGTGAGTTAGGTTATCTTACCCACTTTGCCACTTCTGGTCATCCGCATAGAAGCTTATCTATCACAACAGGTCAAGCAATGAGAAACAACAAAATGTGGTAAAAGTATTTGATCAGAAAGAAGACTTGCACTTATTTACACTAGTATTTCACCGAATGTAGAAAAGAGGCTAAACCATTAACACACAACGATCACCTGAGCCTACTTATATTACTTTCTTCGACATGTTCCAAGTTAACATTCCAGTCATGAGCTATAGGGAGTTTTCTTCACAAGTGACTTATCAGCTTGTCCTGATACATTTGTGTGCGATTGGTTGTTTCTGTTAAAGTCTCATAGAAAAAACATCATGGCTCACAATCCTTCCGAAGTTTGCACCGATGTTGTTTCCAGAATGATAATGAAAGCTTCATCAATGAAACACCGAACTCATATAACACAATATTATCAGAAACAGTGATATAATATCTTGAAGAAAAAAGTATCACCTTTTTGAATTGATTTATTATTATTACTTCCTTCCTTTTTTATGCGTTACCTCCTTGAAGATGGATAGAATAAAATTAGAGGTCATCATACGATTCATACTATCAGTCATCATATATGATCAGTCAGGTGTCTAAGACCGTTGGTTGTATTGTGTTCTCTGAGCTAGGTTGTTTAGTCGTGAAGCTTTCATCGTCTTTCTAGACAACATCATCAGCACTAACTTCAATATGAAGTGAACTGTCAATATCTCTCCGTGAGTGATTCGGTAGCTTGCCCTGATGAAATAACCGGTTTTTGATTGGTTGTTTCCTTTAGGTGTTGTGTCAGTGACAGACCGTATAGATTTTCTTGTTGGCTGTTCCTCTGCTTCACCTCTCACCTTTCTGTCGTTTATCACTTTTCTCATTGGTTGATGGGTTGGGTCTCTGTCTATACACCTATTGATTGCTGACTGACTGACCTGAATGCCAAGCTTCTAGGAATTCTCTGATATTCTTTGTGTTTCTTCTGTAAAAGAATCCTACGTTGTTAAGGTTGAACTCCTGACCATAGTTATCCACATGCATTGAAATGAGCTATGTCTATTTTAAAGAAAATCGGCTTCCCATGAAACTTTATTAAAAGATGCCTATCATGTACATCATCAACTACAAAGTTATCGACATAAATCAACAAAAGCATTATCCTAAAATACATAAAGAATATATCAAAATCAGGACAAGATTACTGAGACCACTTGGAATTAGTGTGGAACCTCATTAACCAACGATTTCTCTTCTAACCTTATTATGCAGACGAAAGGACACAACAACCAAATAAGACAAACCGAAGGTCATTTACAAAATCCGCTGCAATAACTGTAGCCAACGCTACATTGGACAAAGTGGTCTCCCTCTTCACCTTCGTCACAACATTTCATCGCTCATTTCAATGCATGTGGATAACTATGGTCAGGAGTTCAACCTTAACAACGTAGGATTCTTTTACAGAAGAAACACAAAGAATATCAGAGAATTCCTAGAAAGCTTGGCATTCAGGTCAGTCAGTCAGCAATCAATAGGTGTATAGACAGAAACCCAACCCATCAACCAATGAGAAAAGTGATAAACGACAGAAAGGTCAGAGGTGAAGCAGAGGAACAGCCAACAAGAAAATCTATACGGTCTGTCACTGACACAACACCTAAAGGAAACAACCAATCAAAAACCGGTTATTTCATCAGGGCAAGCTACCGAATCACTCACGGAGAGATATTGACAGTTCACTTCATATTGAAGTTAGTGCTGATGATGTTGTCTAGAAAGACGATGAAAGCTTCACGACTAAACAACCTAGCTCAGAGAACACAATACAACCAACGGTCTTAGACACCTGACTGATCATATATGATGACTGATAGTATGAATCGTATGATGACCTCTAATTTTATTCTATCCATCTTCAAGGAGGTAACGCATAAAAAAGGAAGGAAGTAATAATAATAAATCAATTCAAAAAGGTGATACTTTTTTCTTCAAGATATTATATCACTGTTTCTGATAATATTGTGTTATATGAGTTCGGTGTTTCATTGATGAAGCTTTCATTATCATTCTGGAAACAACATCGGTGCAAACTTCGGAAGGATTGTGAGCCATGATGTTTTTTCTATGAGACTTTAACAGAAACAACCAATCGCACACAAATGTATCAGGACAAGCTGATAAGTCACTTGTGAAGAAAACTTCCTGCAGCTCACTTCTTTCTGAAGGTTTTGCTGACGAGTTTGTGTCTAGAATGACAATGAACGCTTCATAATGAAACCATACAGCCCAGAGAATACAACACTGCCAAATAATATTTTGAGATGTAAAGATTCTCCGTCATCTCGCATTATCTTTTAAAACTTATGACCCTTAAAAGTAGAAGGAAAAAGATTAAAGGATTTTGAGCATATTTACCATCGTAGCAATGCTTATATGCAATGGAGTCATTATTTGAACATTGTTGAGGTTAGACAAGGACCACTGACTGAAAGTCAGTCAATGAAGCTGTAAATCTTTACTGGTTCACATGTCTTAGATATATGTTGCGTACGACTAACGACTGAGTCTTTAGTAAGTGAAGTCAACCAACACAGGATTGTTTTATAGATGAAGTAAACAATGGGAGCGACAAAGGATCATCTGATTCGGATCTTTGAGATGATGAGAAGAATCAATGTTTGGTGGATGGTAATGATAAGTACAGTTAGAAATTGATCATAATGGCATATATATCCTATGGGATTTGAAATTTTCATCTGCTTTCATCTATGCAGTAGTGAATTTATGCACCATTTTAGACAGATCTATCTGAGTAATTGCTCTACAGTTTTTCTACAAGGTTGAAAGTAATCACCAGTTATTTCATTAGTTGCAAAGTAGTTTAATGTATTTATTCATAAGTCACAATCTTACCTTTAATAAATTATTGGATGAATCAATTTCTTTAGCTTGTTTCAAACTATTTGGTATACCTTCAATAGCACAATCTTTAGAAGAATTTTCTTTCATGAAATGAATCAATCGATCTAAGTTGTAGTGATTATCATCATCTGTATCATTTGTAGTCTTCACATTATCCATTGAAATTGATGTATAATTAAACGTTTTCACTAGACAGTTGGTATATGCCCTTCGTGAATCTTCACAGCAACCTATGTAAACAAAAAAAAAATGTATGAATATTTATAAAATATGAAACAAAAAAGGAAGGTTTGCACTTAAGTCTGGTCTGAGCTCCTTTAAGGAAATAATCATACATAAATAGGTCAGAAATCATGCAGTTTACTTAATTGTTCAATATTGTCCAATCGCTTACCAACATAATTACTAGTCACTTATTGTGCATTGATATATAAGATATATGACTGGAAACCAGAGTGTATTTTTTCTTAAGGAATGGTATGTAGTTCATGCTCAAATAAATTCCAACCAGATGATAGCCGTTACTCTGAAATGGTGGTCTGGCTTACACATCAAAACAAATAAACAAGCTACACTGGCTGGACATCCTACTATACAATAAAGATCAGTTAGTTAGTAACAAGACGAAAAAAAGTCACACTTGCACTGTTAAAGTGATACACTATGACGAGGACCTGATGGTAAAGTCATACTGCTGGCTATTTGGATGAAACGAGACATCTATAATTCGTTCCCCTGAGATGATCAGCAGTGCCACAGTCATATTGCCTTCTACACGGAAAGAAGGATTGGGAAAGATCGGTTTCAAAAATAGCACACTCTTCCCTACCCCATGACTTTTCTTAGCCGGTGGTATGAGTTTCTTCTGTCCGGGGTTAGTACAACCAAGCCTCAAAATAGCAATCCACAAAAGTTTGTTTATGGACTCTACGATCTTATAATTCGCTTCTATGCATGACGAATAGCTATTAATAGTAATTGAGCGATCATAATTTCGATAAATAAAATGAACTAAACGATTTTGAATTGTTTATGACTGCATATATCTATGATAATATAAGTCTTGATTATTTCCTTGAAGGAACTTAAACCAAAATGTCTTGCATAGCGCTGAAATTATTCATTTCAAATGCCCTGAGATTTATACAAATATAATTTATGTATTGTAAACTTTTCAATTGGTCTCCAATAATTGCCAAAATATTCGGTCGAATCTTGATAAGTATTCGTACAAAATAATATCATGATACCTGTTGAAATATGATATATTTTTCAAGGAATAAAACTAATCATAACAATGGTCATATGCGGATGTTTATGTCTGTTGATTAAGTTATTAATGGTTTACAGTATATCACATTATTACAAGGATATCCGCTCAAGTTTTCCTTGTTTAGTCGTCTTAAATTCCTTCCATCAATGAAGAAATTATCGTTTTACCTTAATGATATACCTGAATATCATAATTTACATTAGGCTGGTAATTAATCCAATAAGATTAGTCTTCAGTATTCAAGTTCTTGTGAGTACTTGTAAAAAAAGTAATGTCCGAGCTAGTTTACGTTTCATATAGAAAAAAAGTGCTTGTATAAGAGACATCCAGAAGAAAAAGTTATTTACCAAACATTTTTTAATGACGTAACCGATAGGCTACCTCTTCACAGCAAATATGTCCATAGTTTAGTAATGACATTAGGCAGGTAGAAGGGTGCTGAAAGCCTGACACAACCACCTTCAAGGGTGAGCATCATACGTAGTGAAAATGCTAACTATCTGTCATTTTTCAATATACTTTTAAGTTAGAAAGAAAAAGCCACGATAAAACAGTTATCGGTTATATTTCTACAAACGATAAGTAGTGTTGTAAACGCAGGACAGACGGAATGCACAAAACGATATCAAGGTGAAAAGTGAAACCGTCAGGGAAATAAAATATGCATTGAAGTTTATACGCTGTGGGAAGAAGTGCACCTATTAATCTAGACCCGAGAAAAGTATGTATATCACGCTAGAAATCCCGGATAGAGAGGAATCAAGTAGTACAGTCGTGGAAGTATCCTGAGCATCTGTCATTAGTGATATCACACTGGGTTAATCATTATTAAGAAGGCATAAACCTTGACATTACATTATAGATTATCATTTTGACTACCATCTGAGACAACCGTGGTTTGGCAGTTTGGTTAGAATTCATACTGAGTGATGATTGAAGGTGGAATGAAAATTTGTACCGTTGTAGGATTAGAATCAGTGAGACACCGGGGTTTCCGGCCCGGTGATCTACCACCTTATTTACGAGGCCTCTGTGGACCCTGAGATGAGAACCTGGTGGTCAGTGGTTCGAGGCATCCTGCTGTGGTCCATATCTTCAGTTCACCTTCAGTCATCATCCAGAATCAATGATTACATCATATGTTGCTGTTTAGTTAGCTTAATTATGCATAAACGTTTTCCTCTGATATACTTTGATAGGCATCTGTTATATATAACCGGACTATTTGATATGTATTAGGCAAAAACATGGGCATTTTCAGATTTGAAAACGTAAAACTTGGGCATTGTGGTAGAATGCATCAGCCCCATTTTAGTTGGTTTATTAGGTGTACTACAGTGAAAGAACAGTATTATTTACTGGATGACGTTTTAAGCACATTTTATCATCCATAGTCATATCAAGATAACTGCACACTTTTGAAACATGACCTACATAATTCTAATTTCTTCGCCTTCTTTGTGATATAGGTTGTAGGATTTTCCATATATGTCTGGAATAGGTTCTGAGTCATTCCTCTTGAATGTATTTAGTTTTGATTCGATAAAAGAGAATCAGTAATCAGTCTGACCCTCCACCCCACTAATTTAGTTCTAAGGATTTTCACTCTTTGACCCTTGTATAGTGGTGACTAATTGGATGCATACAGGAATTGGGTAATTTTGACTTTGCTAGGATTTTGAGCTCGGATAGTCTAATTGACCCTGACCAACTACTTTGACCTCGCAGTCGTTGCAAGGGATTTAGAACACTAAATTATTTTGCCGAATTTGATCAATAAGATCTCTTAACCCTCATAACTTCTTTCTAGGTGAGTTTGTAGATTTGCAGATGCTACTCTAATAGCAGCCACCTTATTGAGAATCTTATGTAATGTCACTCAGGTGTCTCTCTTGTATGATGGTAATACTGTCGAGATTTTGAATTCTCTCTTCACAGTAATGCCTCATTAATTATTGTTACTATTACTAGTGTTAGATGGGATTGAAATATCTGTATTAGTGATTTAACCAAGGATAAGCTAGATTTAATCTCAACGTAATGATCAACTGAAAATTTGACTACAAATGTCTACATTTACCTTCCGCATACACATTTCAGTAAATCATAGAGGTGAATTAACTATTCATACACATACTAGTTCGTTATATTCCTACTGACTTTAGAGTTTTCATTAAACAGTAACTGGTAGAAAAGTTTGCTGACTTATGCAACTCTCAGATGTTTTCACTAAATATGCTCTACTATGATGCCATCAAAGTGGATTGTACCAGTCAAGTGTATGTTTCTCTTCTCCTTTTTTTTCAATCCGAAAACTATTAGTTAATCAGTCATTTTGACTATTATCTGAGTTAACCCCTATGATTTGAAAAAAAACTTGTATTAACATTGGATGATGGATGAAAGGTGAAATAGCCCACAGCAAGATTCAAACAAGCAACCATTGAGTTTCCAGCTGATATACATAAAGTTTTCAAAATTTTGATAGAGCATACCACTTCTTCGGCCTTCAATTTATCAGGGATAAATTCTTAGCAACATTGACAATTAGGAATATGTACATTCAGTCCTATTCATCAGGCATAGTCAGTAAAATTGTATTCTACCCTGTCAAATGACATTGATTGATGAGTGGAGCTAGTTCTTTGCATGAATTTAACGCATAAATGGTCTTTAATCATATATCATATCGAAAAGATATGTCATTCTAAGACTTTTAGGTTTGCTTAGTCAAGATTAAATTTAGAATCTGTTATTATTACATAACGATTTAAGTTGTCATACACTAAACATCAGTACATTACAGCAGAAGGAAATAAAAAGTGCAATCAAAGGCGTAAAAACGATATAAGAAGAGAAGAAGAAGTGATCAAGTGAAGAATGAAACGTGATATAAAAGTTAGGATAAAAATATTCCGTTCATGCATTTAGATCACTGAGATTGCTTGGCAAGTCGATGAACACTTTACAATCCAACATTTGTTAAGCTTTGCCAAGACGTAATATTAAGATACAGTTAGAAGGTTAGTACAACAGTTTAAACAGATGAGTTTCAACCAACAGGTCAAGCGTTGGCATCCAATTTCATCTACTGATATCTAAGAAGCTACAGAAAATAAGTGTAACTCAGTGTCTGCTGCATGAATGTATACAAGATTACTGAGTGGACTTCGATTCCAATATAGAATACATACTTCACGAGAAAATTAAGTTAAAAACCATTTACACAGAATTTTAAAAAGATTTAAATAAAACAAGGAATGGATGTGAAAAATAGCAGGATCTATTGAATTCATAAATTTCACTATCAGTCATCAGCTGAATACTCTACATTCTCGATTATATATAAACCATCGGGCAGTGCAATAGAATCTCGACTGATTTACGTGTAACCATATGAGAATGAATATCTTTATAAGTTCAGTGATAATACACGAGAAAGCAGAACAACATCCACAACAGCACTCTAAAAGTCAGTCTATTTTGCTTTGTTGTTTAAAGGTGACAAATACTAGAGGTAGTTAGAGGAAGACTAGGAAAGCTTATTAGAAGAACTTATTACGCTACGCAAATTATGTTTCTCATTGGTCGAAAGGAGAGGTGTCTGTTCAACCGAATGGCTGAACACCTATCTGAATGTCTGAAGCGTGTTGTAAAGAAAACCTCCTGAGGTTCGTTACGGAAACACCTAGTGAGCTATGAGTATGATTTTGATACCTTTTTGGTCTTTACGGTTATCAGTAGGCAGCAGAATAATAACTTGATTAGAATTACAGAAGCTAGTGCGGTTTCCAGTTGTCAAACTAATCCTCTGCATTCAGAAGGAAATGGTAGCTTGAATCCACCATTACAATGTCATCTAGTCATATTCACTTTTTTTAACCCGATCTTTGGCCTCAATTATCCCCAGTACATCGTATTTTGATTTTCCTTTCTTGGTTTGTTTCGGTTAATTCAT